ATAATTGGACTGCTGCATTTTCCCATCCAGAGATTTATATTTCGTTGTGTAAATTTTGATTTCCAAATCGCTTAGGCTTAATTTCATCATTGACGAGCCCTTGAAAAACGAATTAACTGTAAGATGCAGTTGAATTCATTATTTGTTTCTATTGCATCTACTGCTAACTTGGTAATTAAAAAGTGACATTCCTTTGTGCAATCTTTGACACCATAGTAATTACATGAAGTACTTTAACTTACAATACATTCGTTTTAAGTGAATTTCTGTGGGGAGGGGGGTCTTTAGAAATTTCAGAGCGTTTTAAGGACTGATGCTTATTTTTGCTTTAGATGTTAACTGAAGTTCATGCATTTTTGAAAATTGAAAACTGTTTCCCTAAGTAACTTGTTTAGAATGTAATACGTAATTTTGTTCCTTAGTACCCCGTTAATATAATACTTCTCAGATACTGAAGTCAAACGTAAACAAACAACCAATACGTGTAGCAAGCTTAACTAGATCTAGATTAAAAACAACAAAACATAACAAAGATTCTGTGAATTTCTATGCGAACCAACGCAAAAGGATCACATCTACGTTTGTGTACTTTGTAAACACATCCGTTTGTACTTTACAATGGTATAAAGATGATGCCATCGGCTATGTGCAACGTGGTTCAAATTTTGAAGAAATAAAACTAAACGATCGATCACCTGGAATTTTGCCTTCCACAGTCAGCTCGCAAAGACCGCCGACTTTAACAATGCTCAACAAGTCCCTTTTACCTCGTTGCGTTCGTATGTAAAAATGAATACAAATTGACCACTTTCGTGTTCTTTTAAAGCGATCTGATATGTTACATTTTACTGTCGATCACAGTACGGGTTTTTGAAAAGATTTAATCAAATAACTATTGCAGCTTTATTTACTATTCCTTTTTATTATTTACCTATCGGTATCGATCAGCTGACTATTGATCACTAACCGGTCGTGCATTGGATATACTTACATGTACTTAAGCGATGCATTTGAACAGAACGGTAAGAAATATGAAAGTCACCATACAGAACAAAACTGAATTCAAACATGAACCCAGATTTAAAGGACACCGACTTTAATGGACGGGATTGTACATTATGATATGAATAGTCTTTTCATACCTAAAAATACATACACCATGTTAAAAAGTTTTCATACTGTAGCGAAACAAGCAATTGGGGTAGTCAAAGTCCTACTGCGTCAGGTAATGTAAGAATGTTCGATACCTAAACGAAATGCCTTGTGAATACTTCAGTGGAATGCTGAATGAAGGTAAGTCATGCTATAATGTTTTGTCAGGGATTTCATTTTCAAGTCAATAAAGCATTTAAAAATCTTCACCCGATCTGATTACAAGGTGAATATATGTAACCAAACATGGTTTCCATTCAAATATTAACAGCTCACTGTAAGAATGCGTTTTTTTGTATCCGATAAAATTTGGCATTCTCAACAATCGTTTATTCCAGGGACCAACATACATTCTGCACGATCCTTAAATCAAGTGTCAAGCAATCTTCAATAAAAAATAAATAAAAACAAAACATTCTGCACAGTTTGTTAGTCAAGTGAAAGACATGCTGCACAGAAGATAAGCGAAATGACAAAGAGACATTCTGCACAATCGTTAAGTCATGTAAAAACACAGCCTGCAAACACATTTAGCTAAGCGACAAACATTCTGTACAATCGTTGAATCAAATAACAGGCATTCTGCACAATCATTAAGTCACGTGAAAAGACATTCTGCACAATTGTTCAGTCACGTGAAAAGACATTCTACACAATTGTTAAGTCACGTGAAAAGACATTCTGCACAATTGTTTAGTCACGTGAAAAGACATTCTGCACAATCATTAAGTCACGTGAAAAGACGATCTGCACATGTTAAGCTAAGTGACACACATTCTGCACAATTTGTACGTCAAATGAAGAGCAGTCATTCTACAAGATGGTTCTTTTTTCACAATTACTTATTCAAAGAACGTAACAAGCGTTCTGAATAAGCATTAAGCCAAGTGACTCACAGACATCTTCACAATCGTTTAGTTAGGTGACCGAAAGACATCTTCAAAACTGTTCAGTTAGGCAACGCAAAGACATCTTCACAATCGTTAAGTTAGGTGACCGACAGACATCTTCAAAACTGTTCAGTTAGGCAACGCAAAGACATCTTCACAATCGTTTAGTTAGGTGACCGACAGACATCTTCACAATCATTTGACCGACAAATCACATTCTGCAGGACGGTTTAGTCAAAAGGAAACCAAGCATTCTGCACACTAAATTAGCGATGTGACAAAGAGGCATTGTGCACAATAGTTCATTCATGGGACTATCATTTTCCACCAATGTTTTTTTTAAAGTAAAACTCCGACATTCTGTACAATCATTTGGTCAGGTGGCAAAAAGGTAACTATTTAGCCATGTGATGACAACCATTGTACTTATACATCACAGTAACAGCAAGTGAAAAACCAGTAGTTGTTTAATAAATTAACCAAGAGACAGATATTTATTCTAATGACAACAGTATAGTTACGTTATCAACATACATTTTTACTAACACAAGAATAACTACCCACTACCTACTAATGTCACACTATCTACTGATGTCCATAAATGATGACCTAGGCTGTAGGAAGATTTCAAACTAATATATTTCTGGTTTTAGAATCTTATAACCAGGAAAAATATTTCATTTTCTTTTAAAGTGGAATCGGATACTTTATCTACACAAATATTAACCCTTAACACATCCTCTGCAAACAAAGGACCAACCAGAAAGATTCTCTGCCTTAGTATTATAACATTATTTCTGGAATACCTGGTAAGTCATTAGGAGAATGACCGACAATCTAGCTCCATAATACACTTTAAAATTATACATTATATAAATAGTTCCTGAAAGAAAATCCAGTGTTAGCTGTGGCAGAAATTTACTTTCTAAAGACACAAACAATGCCAAGTTACCAATTTATGGATTATTAAATACAAGATTTAGAAATTATCAAATCAGAACATATCAGCACAATGGTGAAGTAGTACACCCAGCCATGATAGAAGATGATACACAGTACCTGTATAAAGCATAACCATTATTTAGTATAACACTTCCATTGCCAAAAACACTCAAATATGGTCACTACTTTTTTGTTACAGTATGTGTAGTTTGAATGACAGATATCCATCTAAAACTATCTTACACATATCCGAAAATTTCATTCATTTTCACAAATGTAATTCAACAAAATTTCATTATTCTAAATCAACATTGAACCGTATACCATATGATAGGTCATGAATTTTTCTGTCTAAAATGTTTTGAATTCTTGAAAAGAAAAGCAAGGAAAATGAAATTCACAGTGAAAAAACAAGATGAATATAACACAGTAAAACTGACTTTTAGCAAAAATTGTTGCTGTTTTTGTAATCAAGTCAATCTCCGAAGCAAACATTTTATATATCATTTAATCTAAGATTTGATCCAAAAAGTAATGACTAATTCTTCTAATCAAAAATGGTACTCAGAAAATAGACTTCTTTACAAGGAAAAGCATAACACCAAATTTACAGATGGTGCAATGAAAACAGCCTCCTTCACCACATGGAATAGCATTCTTCTTATTTAAAATATAAACACTTAGGCTGTTAATTAGTAAACAACGAGATATCTTCTTGTAACTCTGAAACTTTTGAGACCAGATTTATAGCAGAGACATCATGCAAGAGCTATGAAATATGATAAGAGAAATGGAACTTAAATTGGATTATAACAAAGATTTTTAATGATAACAACTCTAAAACTGAGTTTTATGGCAACAGAGATAATAGAATTCCTACATATTAAGTATGAAATAAGCCCCTCCGCCCAGTAAACCACCCATAATACTCTCAGTACAAGTAGGTTTGTTACAACCAATCACCAATATATAAAATCTACTTCATCCATATAATTGTCTTGGTGTCTGTACATACACCTGTAGGTTTCATGCTTCTAAATCAGTTAATCAGCCAACATGACCATTAAACATTTTGTTTTTTACAGTTCTAAAAGATCACCAAATATATATCTTCAGCAAAGCTTTGCATCGTCAATTTTTGCCAAATACTGATCATAGTGTTCAGTCAGTCTATTTATCTACACTTAGATTGTGTAGGGTGTCTGTCAGTCTCTATACACTTGGAGAACTTGTCTATCGTTAGGTCTATAGGTCTACATTAATGTTAGGTAAAGATTCCCTCTGTCTGTCTCTAGTTGTAAGACATCTTGTCTATCTTTCAGGTCAACTCTTAAACACAGTAAGTGTCCAATGTCTGTTTATCTGTCTACACTTACTGTCTGTCTGAACTAGAGGTAATAATCTTCTTCAGAAGTATACCAGTGCATTTACGCTAGAGCTGATCTCAAAATCAAAAATCCATATATACACTCATATTCCTGGAGTTAAACAATTTCCGTAAGTCAAGGTCACTGTTCCTATTAATAGAACACATGACAAACAGTCCTGTATGAGAGACAGATATACCAGGTACACAGAAGGAGCCTTAATGATGTGTCTGAAGATGTAAACATAGACCTACATCTTACATTAATCGTTTTCTTAAGAAATAAATGATAATTTTTTTCTTTAGTTATAAACAGATAAAATCTTCATCATTTGATTACTTTAAACATCAGACAGCTTTATATCCTGCGTCTAACTAAAAAATAAAAAATTATCACTGAGAAAACTAAAACAAAAACAGCCATGTTTGCCAACTAAGTGGCCAGATCTTAAAAAAGTGGCCTGATATTAAAAGAGTAGAGTCATTTCACCACAGGAGTTACCAAGATTAGTCATCGGAATCTCCATGCCAACAAAGCATTCCGACTCTTCTCCTGCTGCCTCTGCTTCGTCCGAGTGCTGGAGGATTGGCGGTCGGTCCAATTGCCGGAGACTGGTAAGTATATGGATGAAGTAGATTTCAAGGTAGAGTCATAAGTCAGGAAAACGCTTGGGGTCCTCAATGTACTCAGGTGGTATGTAGAACAAACTATCGGGCAGCTCGTCCTTCCACTCAAAAGAGTTGAAAGTTACTCTGGCAGTCACTGTTGGGAACACTGGGATCTCTGTAAAAACAATAAAGACAATGCAGATTAAAGCATCATTCAAGATATATTCTGATATGATTACAGCAACCATTTTGATGTTTTCAAAATAGGAATTTGAAAATTATCTTCATTACTGGAAATGGTACATATGATATTTCAAATAAATTCAAACATGAATCAGGTGAAAAAAAATTGGAAGCCGAAATAAACTATAAAACATAGTTATCTTATCTGATAAGTGTTATATCTAGCTGGTGTGTTTTCCTTGTATTAAATAAAGGAGGTAGACTTCAACTTGACATACTTTGTATTAATATTGATCAATAGACATTTTGTAGTTGATCCTTCATTAGAGTTATTACACTATATTTGCATTTATCAAAGCTGACCTTTGTAACTTTGATGTTTGAACATCTTAACCAAACATTGAACACCAATATAACATCGATTCCATTACACAGTAATATCAATGTATCCACAACTAATTTCTGTTGGCACCTTAAATTTCTCTTCATACTAAATACTTTTAAATTTTAACAGCATTTGCGTAACCAGTAACATTTTCCATAATTTTCTCATCAGCAAATGACAGAATGAAAAAATTTACATTTAATTTAAATATGTAGTAGATCAGTTTTTTTTATATATATTTTCATATTTTGGTGGAAAACAACCAGTGCTTGAGTAAATGAAGGCTGGACCCCAATAATGAACGTATATTAATGGGGTTTTTTTATTGATGTTTTTATTAACTCTCTCAGGATATAACTTTCAGTTATTTGACAGAAAACTGGTTTTAAACAAAAATTAAACTTGAAATTACAAAAATTATAAAGAAACATCATAGGATTGAGTACAGCAGTTTATGTACCTATCTTTACAGGAAATCCATCAGGCAACTTTGTAGTCATAAAATCCCTGAGCTTCTGAAATTGCTTGAATGGTGCTATCACTTCAAGTACATCCAGCAAACTGCAAAACAGAATAAATCCATTGATTCATATAATTTTTCTTTGATATGGAATTATTTACACTCTTAGAAAATAAAAAAAAAACTGATGAAAGAAATTTAGATAAAATTTTTTTTTAAGTAATTACACTTTGTAAATTGTTTTTCATTTATTTCAAACTATTAATCACAGGTCATCATTTGAATAGAAGTATTATGAACTTTTCAAGATGTTCTATCTAATTCTAATTATACCTCGAACACCTCTGAGAATTTTATAAAAGAAAACATTTACATAATTGAATACTTACACACTAACATCCATAGGGAAAGATTTGCTCTGTAAAAAATAATAGCAACAAATTAATGCTCAGCTGGTAAATTAGACCTAATATGTGCTTATGTAAAAATTAAGAACTTATAATAAAACAAGAGTATCTGGAAACATTAATAATATATCATTTTACATAATTGACATGGATACTGTACATAATTATATAGCTGACACAATTTACAGGAACTCTGACGCTGCATTTGTAGATATGAAGAATTAAATAAAATCTAATACACAGCAAATAATTTACAATCAACAACAGAATTATGAAAGATGCATTTCGTGCATGGATACCGATATAGAAATATGTCGATAAAGGTGAAGTATCGTGATATCTAATACCTGTGAACTAACTCTGACAAGGACAATTGTATAATTTTAGGAAATAATACAGTTATACATTAAGACTGAAAGAAAACACAGATAGTTATTAAGATGTTTGATGATTTGTGTAATGGTTCATCATCAGAGTATTCTACCATTACATGCAATTTGGGTCCATCATCAGAGTATTCTACCATTACATACAATTTGGGTCCATCATCAGAGTATTCTACCATTACATACAATTTGGGTCCATCATCAGAGTATTCTACCATTACATACAATTTGGGTCCATCATCAGAGTATTCTACCATTACATACAATTTGGGTCCATCATCAGAGTATTCTACCATTACATACAATTTGGGTCCATCATCATACAATTTGAGTATATCTACCATTACATACAATTTGGGTCCATCATCAGAGTATTCTACCATTACATACAATTTGGGTCCATCATCAGAGTATTCTACCATTACATACAATTTGGGTCCATCATCAGAGTATTCTACCATTACATACAATTTGGGTCCATCATCAGAGTATCTAGAATTACATACAATTTGGGTCCATCATCAGAGTATCTAGAATTACATACAATTTGGGTCCATCATCAGAGTATCTAGAATTACATACAATTTGGGTCCATCATCAGAGTATCTAGAATTACATACAATTTTGGCTCATCATTAGAGTATCTAGAATTACATACAATTTGGGTCCATCATCAGAGTATCTAGAATTACACACAATTTGGGTCCATCATCAGAGTATCTAGAATTACACACAATTTGGGTCCATCATCAGAGTATCTAGAATTACATACAATTTTGGCTCATCATTAGTTTATCTAGAATTACATACAATTTTGGCTCATCATTAGAGTATCTAGAATTACATACAATTTGGGTCCATCATCAGAGTATCTAGAATTACATACAATTTGGGTCCATCATCAGAGTATCTAGAATTACATACAATTTTGGTCCATCATCAGAGTATCTAGAATTACATACAATTTGGGTCCATCATTAGAGTATCTAGAATTACATACAATTTGTGTCCATCATCAGAGTATCTAGAATTACATACAATTTGGGTCCATCATCAGAGTATCTAGAATTACATACAATTTGGGTCCATCATCAGAGTATCTAGAATTACATACAATTTGGGTCCATCATCAGAGTATCTAGAATTACATACAATTTGGGTCCATCATCAGAGTATCTAGAATTACATACAATTTTGGTCCATCATCAGAGTATCTAGAATTACATACAATTTTGGTCCATCATCAGAGTATCTAGAATTACACACAATTTGGGTCCATCATCAGAGTATCTAGAATTACACACAATTTGGGTCCATCATCAGAGTATCTAGAATTACACACAATTTGGGTCCATCATCAGAGTATCCAGAATTACACACAATTTGGGTCCATCATCAGAGTATCCAGAATTACACACAATTTGGGTCCATCATCAGAGTATTCTACCATTTTATAAATATGATAAAAACAATACATACCATTGCTACTGTTGCCTTGAAGGACTTGGAACTTCCCTTAGGGATCCACTGTCTGCCTAGACAAGGGGGTTTACCAGCAGGGGCGGACAGGTACTCTTCCCAGCTGATGTTTGGCCTTTCAGGTGGGTTTAATGATGGTCGTCTTTGAAACTAAAACATGATGAAATGTCCCTTTATAACTTATAACTTTACTCTCAATCAAAATCTTTCAAAATTATTGTGTTCAAACCTCCTCCATCACTTATATTGTATATTTAATAGACTAAATGCCTTCAGTGACCTATCAACTGCACCTGTTTTGGAATATTTAACACTACATGGTGTGTGACACTTACATCACAGTTGTCCCAGGTTCCCTTGGTTAGATTCTCCATTATAGCCTTGTTCTTCTGAACATCTTCTGGAGACAGGTGTTCCCTCCTAGAACAGGAAAATCAACCAGACTTCACACATCTTCAGTGCCAACCAACCTGGACACACCTTTATTTTACTGCAAGTAAGCCCCCTCCCCCAGTGAAAAAAAACTGACCAAAAGTAAGGAATGGGCTTATTTGTGAGCATCCCAAAGCACATAAGTGTCTGCTATCTTGCATACTTGTTGTACCCTATTATGATCACAAATACCTACACAATCAATGACAGAAATTAAACCTTGTTGGTTTTTCAGAAATATTTCATTTTAATAAGATAGTTTTTACTTTATTACTTATTTTACATTCAGTCTGGAATACAGTTTAATAGCACATCATTTGACCTTGAAAAAAGTAGACACATCTTACGTAATAAGCACTACTGTGTTCCATGGGTGTACCTATATGATCTGCTAGTGTTCCGGTGAACATGCTATTACCAATGATTTTTACAAGCAGTATATCACTATATGATGACTGAATGAAACAATAACCAGAAAATAGAAAAAAATATTCAACTTTACGGACCATAAGACTGCTATTTGTGGAAAATTATGACAAGATAAAGTTGGTCTCAACTTATGACACTGAAAAAAATTCCCAGACTTGCATATTTCAACTGGTTGCCAGTAAGTGAAAAAGTCTGCTTGTTTAAATATCTGTAGAATTTTCCCAATTGATTCTCATGATCAAGTCCTTGTATTCCATTTTCTCAGCATTTTGAATTACATCCACAACATGATAATGAGGAAAGATGAAAGAAAGTTTTTGGTGCGTTGTGTGTTACCACTACTACATGTACCAATTATGATGGTCACTTACAGCATTGGAAAACTTTGCCATTACCAACTTCTGAAATATACTAGGTGAATGTTTTATTTTTCAACATAAATAGACATCCCTCTATATAGATATATATATAAACAAGATGGGTATTCCTGGTTCCTTAACTGCATTGAATGATGGAATGTCAAGCTTGACAAGGTGGATACTTGCTTAAAGAGAGCGTAATACCAAGCTTCATTTAGAACAGTGAACGCACCTGCCCCAATTAAATGAAGAGTGTACAAAAATGTAGGACAGTAGTGGTGACATGGACTCTGATAAGTCTGATTTTATCATAAATATCTTTGTTAACAACCATGACAGCCAGTCTTTACTTTCTGTATTTGTTAGCATATCTAATTAATTTGATATATGTTCTAAATTTACCTTTTTCTAGAATCTAAAGTGAGTCCATTTATGAAGTAGTAATCAGCTTCATAATCACCAACCATTTCCTGCAAAAAAGGAGACATTTTCTCAGAATAGAAAAAAACATGAGATCACGGAAATTCATAATGCACAACTAGGGACCAAGGGGAACATCGATATGAAATTGGAGAACCGTACTTTTCAGGAAATGGCAATATAATAAACTTTCATAATCAATATCCAAGATGGCCACTTCACAGCAATTTTGACTTTTTAGGTCAATCCAAGCACAGCAATGGACCAAGGGGAACCTACAGATTTGTACAATCTGAGAAAGATTCATCCAGTATTTCCTAAAGGAACAGTAAAAATCAGACCTCAAGATAAATATATGACATTTGATAAAGATTTATCCATTCCTTCTCAAGAAATAGCGGTAACAACCTATCATTGTCAAAATCAAAGATGACAGCATGTTGGCAATTTTGTTTTTCTGCTTCGTCCCAAAAGCAAATGTGCACAACTAAGAACCAAGAGAAACCTACATAAGATATTTGAGAACAATCCATCCAGGACTTCTCAATAAGCAGTGATAAAGAGTATCGACCTTAAGCATAAACCACTTACACAGGGCAATTTGAAAAGTCTAACTATGCTGAAAATTTTGAAATAAAATTGAGTTTAGACCTACAGTTTGTCAGTTATTCATCCTTTGACCTTCTCAGTTGTAAGTTAACCTGAGAGTTTTACAAAACTAAATAAATAAATTCTATCATTCTCATTTGATCTAAGATTCCAAATGTTACAAAAATTGACTTACTGTCTTATCCTCTCTGAAAAGCCAGCCACTCTGTGCTCGTGTGAATGTAATGTTTTTAGTTGACATTTGTGCCGCCATAATGTCACTGCTCATCAAGATGTCAACCTCATCATCCATCTCTTGCTCGCTCTCCTGTTCCAAAATAATGGTATTTTGAGATAGGTCACTAGAAAATGGTTATCTCCCCTGACTTAAGATACCACCTTACAAACATTTTTACACATGGGTTACCACCCCTGTTTTCAGACATGCATATCTTCATATTGATTGTTATATGTAGGTTAACTCCTCTGTCTTAAGACATGGATATCCTGATATGTATTGTTTGAGGTAGGTTACCTCCCCTCTCTTTAGACAATGCTACCCTAATGTTATATATGAATTACTTCCTCCGTCTATGACAAGCATGTCCCTTTCAATCTATTGAAAGAAGTCCATCTTTGTTTTTCATAACAAGACAAATGTGGTAAAAATCAAAGAAAGTACTCTCCCTTAACAATTAAAGAAACGAAAACTAAACTGCTCTGTTTTCAATCAATTTTGTCTTTATTTCTCATTTTTTTCTGATACAAATGACCTATTAATATTATACTAATGTTATACATATTATAGCTTAAATATCAAATCTTATCCAGAATTGAAATATGTTCCTATCTGACATATATTCACACCTTATATTTCCCCTATAATAATTATTCAAAGTAAAACCACATTTATGATCCATTGGTGATGAATATTCCTACCTCGTATCTGATCCTCTGGAACACAAACAGCTTGTTATCTAACACAGTCAAACTCTGCTGGGGGTCTTCCTCTCCATTAAACACAAATGTTATGTCCCCCCTCTCCCAGTGCATGTCGTTAAAATCCACTAGAGTTGTATCAAGGCTGCAAAAACAGGGATTTATATTATCATGTGGTTACAAAAAGTACAGTCAAGGTTTACAGATCAGTTTAGGTAAAATTCTTCATAATCATAGGTAAGGGATCTGTTTAGGTAAAACCCTTCACAATCATAGGTAAGGGATCTGTTTAGGTAAAACCCTTCACAATCATAGGTAAGGGATCTGTTTAGGTAAAACCCTTCACAACATTATGGTTGAGGGATCTATTTAGGTAAAATTCTTCACAATCATAGGTAAGGGATCTGTTTAGGTAAAATTCTTCACAATCATAGGTAAGGGATCTGTTTAGGTAAAACCCTTCACAATCATAGGTAAGGGATCTGTTTAGGTAAAACCCTTCACAATCATAGGTAAGGGATCTGTTTAGGTAAAACCCTTCACAACATTATGGTTGAGGGATCTATTTAGGTAAAATTCTTCAACATTATGGTTGAGGGATCTGTTTAGGTAAAACCCTTTGCAGTAAAGGATGAGGGATTAGTTTAAGTTAAAATTCTTCAACATTATGGTTGAGGGATCTATTTAGGTAAAATTCTTCAACATTATGGTTGAGGGATCTATTTAGGTAAAATTCTTCAACATTATGGTTGAGGGATCTATTTAGGTAAAATTCTTCAACATTATGGTTGAGGGATCTATTTAGGTAAAATTCTTCAACATTATGGTTGAGGGATCTATTTAGGTAAAATTCTTCAACATTATGGTTGAGGGATCTATTTAGGTAAAATTCTTCACAATCATAGGTAAGGGATCTGTTTAGGTAAAATTCTTCACAATCATAGGTAAGGGATCTGTTTAGGTAAAACCCTTCACAATCATAGGTAAGGGATCTGTTTAGGTAAAATTCTTCACAATCATAGGTAAGGGATCTGTTTAGGTAAAACCCTTCACAATCATAGGTAAGGGATCTGTTTAGGTAAAATTCTTCACAATTATAGGTAAGGGATCTGTTTAGGTAAAACCCTTCACAATCATAGGTAAGGGATCTGTTTAGGTAAAACCCTTCACAATCATAGGTAAGGGATCTGTTTAGGTAAAATTCTTCACAATCATAGGTAAGGGATCTGTTTAGGTAAAACCCTTCACAATCATAGGTAAGGGATCTGTTTAGGTAAAACCCTTCACAATTATAGGTAAGGGATCTGTTTAGGTAAAACCCTTCACAATCATAGGTAAGGGATCTGTTTAGGTAAAATTCTTCACAATCATAGGTAAGGGATCTGTTTAGGTAAAACCCTTCACAATCATAGGTAAGGGATCAAAAATTCATAGGTTAAGGGATCTGTTTAGGTAAAACCCTTCACAATCATAGGTAAGGGATCTGTTTAGGTAAAACCCTTCACAATCATAGGTAAGGGATCTGTTTAGGTAAAATTCTTCACAATTATAGGTAAGGGATCTGTTTAGGTAAAATTCTTCACAATCATAGGTAAGGGATCTGTTTAGGTAAAACCCTTCACAATCATAGGTAAGGGATCTGTTTAGGTAAAATTCTTCACAATTATAGGTAAGGGATCTGTTTAGGTAAAATTCTCATAGGTAAGGGATCTGTTTACAATCATAGGTAAGGGATCTGTTTAGGTAAAACCCTTCACAATCATAGGTAAGGGATCTGTTTAGGTAAAATTCTTCACAATCATAGGTAAGGGATCTGTTTAGGTAAAACCCTTCACAATCATAGGTAAGGGATCTGTTTAGGTAAAATTCTTCACAATCATAGGTAAGGGATCTGTTTAGGTAAAACCCTTCACAATCATAGGTAAGGGATCTGTTTAGGTAAAATTCTTCACAATCATAGGTAAGGGATCTGTTTAGGTAAAACCCTTCACAATCATAGGTAAGGGATCTGTTTAGGTAAAATTCTTCACAATTCACAATCAGGTAAGGGATCTGTTTAGGTAAAACCCTTCACAATTATAGGTAAGGGATCTGTTTAGGTAAAACCCTTCACAATCATAGGTAAGGGATCTGTTTAGGTAAAACCCTTCACAATTATAGGTAAGGGATCTGTTTAGGTAAAACCCTTCACAATCATAGGTAAGGGATCTGTTTAGGTAAAATTCTTCACAATCATAGGTAAGGGATCTGTTTAGGTAAAACCCTTCACAATCATAGGTAAGGGATCTGTTTAGGTAAAATTCCTCACAATCATAGGTAAGGGATCTGTTTAGGTAAAACCCTTCACAATCATAGGTAAGGGATCTGTTTAGGTAAAATTCTTCACAATCATAGGTAAGGGATCTGTTTAGGTAAAACCCTTCACAATCATAGGTAAGGGATCTGTTTAGGTAAAATTCTTCACAATCATAGGTAAGGGATCTGTTTAGGTAAAACCCTTCACAATCATAGGTAAGGGATCTGTTTAGGTAAAACCCTTCACAATCATAGGTAAGGGATCTGTTTAGGTAAAACCCTTCACAATAATAGGTAAGGGATCTGTTTACCCTTCACAATCATAGGTAAGGGATCTGTTTAGGTAAAACCCTTCACAATCATAGGTAAGGGATCTGTTTAGGTAAAACCCTTCACAATTATAGGTAAGGGATCTGTTTAGGTAAAACCCTTCACAATCATAGGTAAGGGATCTGTTTACCCTTCACAATCATAGGTAAGGGATCTGTTTAGGTAAAATTCTTCACAATCATAGGTAAGGGATCTGTTTAGGTAAAACCCTTCACAATCATAGGTAAGGGATCTGTTTAGGTAAAATTCTTCACAATCATAGGTAAGGGATCTGTTTAGGTAAAACCCTTCACAATCATAGGTAAGGGATCTGTTTAGGTAAAATTCTTCACAATCATAGGTAAGGGATCTGTTTAGGTAAAACCCTTCACAATCATAGGTAAGGGATCTGTTTAGGTAAAACCCTTCACAATTATAGGTAAGGGATCTGTTTAGGTAAAACCCTTCACAATCATAGGTAAGGGATCTGTTTAGGTAAAACCCTTCACAATCATAGGTAAGGGATCTGTTTAGGTAAAATTCTTCACAATCATAGGTAAGGGATCTGTTTAGGTAAAACCCTTCACAATCATAGGTAAGGGATCTGTTTAGGTAAAATTCTTCACAATTATAGGTAAGGGATCTGTTTAGGTAAAACCCTTCACAATCATAGGTATGGGATCTGGGAAAATTACAATCATAGGTAAGGGATCTAAGGTTAAAAACCCTTCTTCAACATTATGGTTGAGGGATCTATTTAGGTAAAATTCTTCAACATTATGGTTGAGGGATCTATTTAGGTAAAATTCTTCAACATTATGGTTGAGGGATCTATTTAGGTAAAATTCTTCAACATTATGGTTGAGGGATCAGTTTAGGTAAAATTCCCCACAGTGAAGGGAGTGGGATCAGTTTAGGTAAAATTCCCCACATTGAAGGGTGAGGGATCAGTTTAGGTAATATTCCCCACATTGAAGGGTGAGGGATCAGTTTAGGTTAAAATGTAATTTAACTACATGTATGTTCATTTAAACCATTGCCAGAAATAGCTACATCTTTTATTATATATATAGTAAGAGTTAATTTAAACAATGTTTGATATATCAGTATGATCAATATGTTAATGAGAGAACAGCCAACAAGTTGTTTTATAACTTACAGAATAAAAACAACAGTCATTAAACCTTACCGTATACAGCATCCTTTTTTGTGTATTTTACAAACATCTGAAGGCAGAATCCTGGACACCAAAGGAACTGTAAATACATCAAGATATTACAGAAATATTTAATAACAAAATATATAGTTAGAATGGTAAAGCTTCACCAGAAAAGTCCAGTAAATTTTGTTCTGAGAAATAAGCTCCAAATTGAATGAGACCAAAAGATGAAGTCTGGAAAATCTCTTGACTTCAACCATAAAGCATCACTGAATTAATTCTTGAACTAGAAAAGTCGTCCAGGGCCAACTCCCAGTATGGAGGAAGTATGTGTATAACAATTTGTTGAGTTGTTCTGTTTATATTGATATAATTTAATATAATATGTGACAAGCATTTTCATTGGCCAATTTTTCTCTATGCTATCGTTAAATGACACTAAAAAATTTATGTCAATTTGCAACATCATGTTTGATTGGCCAATGCAACGATGTAAGAATTGTCAAAGAAAAGAGTCCATTGCAAACAGCCGTAACTTTGTGAAAGGGGAAACAACTAAACCTGTTATTGATTGCGCACATCTACAATATATAAGGATTATTGCCATCAAATTTTGTTGAAATCCATTTATAGTTTAGGAATAGCTTATACATCAATTTTCAAAGGGTCATGAATTTCCGAAAAGGTGAGATAACTCAACCTGATATGTTTTAAGCACATTTGATTGGGAGTGGAGTGGAGGGGTTATAGTACAGCACTGTTGCCCATATATCTTCAACTTCACTGTTTGGTCTGATCTGTTCAACCCTTGACCAGTATCTCTGATTCCATCCAGGCCAATAGATTGATTAATATAAGCTGACAGCTGGTTTTGCAATTGTTGTAAAATAAATAATGTTTATATATATTTTGCATATGCAAGGTATAGTGTACACAAAATTTGGCTCAGATAATGGTAAAAAGTGACATATGCAATCATATTTTAAACTATTATGTATTGGTATTGACTTACCCCAGCTTTGAAAATCCCACTTAAGTTCTAGGTAGAAATCTCCTATATCCCGTAGTGCCTGCACAAGAGAGGGCCTCCTATTCTCCAGGGACTCCCGAGACTGTTGTTTAAGTTTTCTTAGTAGACACAATACTGAAAGTTGATTTTAAAGGAGAGATCATTATTACTTCTGGAAATAGCTTAACACAAACAGTTCTGTAAAGAAACTCCTGGTTTTCTGTAATGATTTTCATTAAATTTAATAAAAAATTAATCAAATCTGCTATACATGTTATTCAAGCAATTAAAAATTTAAAACTTTCAAAAACTATTCAATTGGATAGAAACTAAATTACTGAAGACCACTTATAAACTGAGAAATATACAATATATGCAAATGTGTGATTGTTTACTTGTTTGTCGATCTCCAAAGCTGATCGACTCTGCCAACGGTGTCCAGCCTTGGGTGTTTTTTATACGGACAGGAGCTCCATGGGCCAGTAATAAGTGTATACATTCTAAAAACACAAAATGAAGGATCATGATCACGAGGAAGAAATGAGAGCATTTACAGTGAATACAATACACTTAGTCCATCAAATGGTAAATTAAATGATACAAACTTGGTTTTTTAGTAATTCATTACTTTATTCAATACAATGACAGGTACATAATATAGCTGTAGTATATACATGTGAGAAGCGCACCTCCACACTAACATACATTTTCACGTCCATGGATGGATGTATACATGACCGCACACATACAGATGTACATCAAGAGAATACTTGCATGTATACACTTTACATGTACAAGTAATACATACATGCAAACAGGCATACACCTAATAGAACAGTTACCCATGTAGACAAGGACATGTATATGCATCATGTACATACACCGTACTCACACCTACAAGTTTTCATACCTACAACCTGACCTATAAATCCGATATGTAAACTACAGGTGTATAAATATCAAAATTAGCAAACCACTTCTAAAGTAGTTAATTAGACATGTTCAAAGTTGTAATGTTGTTATGGAGAGCTGTTGTTGTGAGGAGGTATGGAAGTCTTACTGTATATTGTATTGTTTTTGTTTTGATTTTTTTATCAGAAGAAAGTGAAGGAAGAGATTAGAATAAGAGAGAAAATGATAGGGTATTATTCTATATTAATTTTAGCGAAGAGCTTCCACAACACAGTGAAATAATCAAATACATATACAGCAAAGCAACTGTATTGCAATGTATAGAAAAAGATGGAAGAAAAGTATGAATTAGAAGAGGCAGGTGTAAGACCAGAAGACAAGAAGAAGAGATTGAGAAGATAGACAAAGGAGAAATGAGAACAAGCATGATATGGAACGAACATGACAGGATTACTTTTCGGTAACACAAGTTGTTACCAAATGAGCTCAGTTTGGAGTATATATATATAAAAAAATGGAAAAGATAAAGAAATCATCAGCCTGAGAACTGCCAAATTTTAAGCAATATCTACTCGTTTCCATTTACTCCATTCATTTGAAAAGATTTGTAAGGAAGAATTACCTTTACCAGTTGAAATGAACTTTTAGACAATATAATTTTCTTGTATAACTTTAAACTAAAGCCATGACTGATAAAGTGCTATGTAGAGTTCTTGTTCTATAGATATAAGATTTAATAATCAGATGTACTTCATTATCTACTCAATTGTAGACACCAGTATTATTTACCAGACCGAATAAAATAGACTCTTTGTTTATAGAAAACCAAATTGTAAAAGGATCTAATAGTGATTCAAAACTGGCACAGAAATTTTGCATTTCACTACATTTCCATAACATAAGAATAATTGTCTCCCTTTCTCTATTACAAAAATTACAGTTAGGGTTGTTTGAAATACCAATTTTGTATGCATACAGGTTGGTTGTTAAAATAAAGTGATAAAGTCTAGTGTTTTGACTTAATCTAAAAGGAATACTGTGTATTTATGTAATTATCATATTTTTGATGAATATTCAAACTTATCACACAGTCATATCAGACTTACATTAAAAAAAGAAAACAAGACTTTCTGCGGTCCAAATTCTCCAGTCAAAAAAAGTAATTATTAAAACAACATACTGGTAATATAGATTTTTTTTTACTGTACTACTTTGGAGAAAATCTTGAACAAAAATCACCTTCAAAGCGAGACAAATATATTTCTGTCACATAATGAGTTTTTTTGCTTGTTTCAATATAAACTTATCATTTTTTTTTTCCATGTAGAAATTTTATGTACCATCCAACCAGTGTGAACACATATAAAAATTCAACCGCCTTTCAAACAATAACAGTATATCAAATTGAATGTTCTGACCAGTCCATATAACCCCTCCCCTCACCTTTCTGACCAGTCCATATACCCCCTCCCCTCACCTTTCTGACCAGTCCATATACCCCCTCCCGTCCCCTTTCTGACCAGTCCATATACCCCCTCCCCTCACGTTTCTGACCAGTCCGTATACCCCCTCCCCTCACCTTTCTGACCAGTCCATATACCCCCTCCCCTAACCTTTCTGACCAGTCCATAGACCCCTCCCCTCACCTTTCTGAAATCATGTAAATATGTACCTTGTGTGACAGTGTCATATCCAAAATTGAAACATCCACCACATTACCATCACATGGTAAGTCAAATACCTTTTATTATTCATGTGTGTTCTGATTTCCTCAAGAAACATTGGCTTCCGTTTGCCATGGGACCTATTCCTAAGTACCAGTAGTCCATGTAATCAATTTACAAATTACTTACAATTTTTATCAAGTTATGATCTTCCATCAAAAATGACTGATGCCTTGTTATAAGGAGTATATATATATATATAAAACAAAGGCCTGCTGTTGCATGAATAAATTCATTGTACACCTGTAGAAGCTTATTGCCTTATTTACTAGCCTTGGCTAATGTTAATCTTTCTTTACTTTAGCGGAAAGGTGTCTGTCTAGAGACCAAAGGATCACTTGTTTGAACACCAACAGGGGCAGGACGTTTTTCATTGCTATTTCCCAATACACACCTGACAATAGGGAATAGAAAATATATGCGTATATATATGATACCCATTTGCATGAAAATGTTCACATAATTCTCACCTTTGTGTCCCAGAATTACAGCAAGGTGCAAGGGTGTGTTACCTGAAACAAAAATATATCAGCTGATACAGTAGACCGTATTAATTTCATCAAAGCCTAATTTCCTTTCTGCATAGATGTAATGTTGACAGGTCAAATAGATGTATACATGTAACATATAAACTGACTATTTCTATATTCAGTGTGATTTCTATCTGAAATCTACAGTAGCCTGTGTCTACACCAATTGTGAAAACATTGCTAATTTTTAATTCTTAAAATTCAATTTAGAAGAAAATAATACTTTTTTAAGCTAGGAGAGAAGCCAACCTGTTTTCAACTGTAAAAGTTGAATGATCAAAAATATCGCTGCTTTTTCATTTTTTCATTTCTAATAACAAGAAAGAAAACATAAATTATGTGCAATTTTAAATGAGATATTCATTTTTGAAAAAAAAACCCAAAACATTCTGTTTGAAGTCCAAAAGTCTGACTAGCAATGACTATATATCTTCCTATTTGTTTCTTCATGTATTGCTCACTATGTAGATGCTTGGCTACTAGCTGCCTTTGCAGTTAAATAAAAAACTAAAGTTTTCTTAAGTATCAAAGCATTATTCTACTGTGAATTGATGCTGTACAAAATTTTAAAAAGTAAAAAAAAATGCTATTAAATATCAGTAGCAAGTTTCTTTTATTACACGGTCAAAAAAAATTTCTCTGATTTTTTGGTAGTGTTATAATGGGATGTTTAGTCTGTCAGCTCATAGGTTCATCACTTCAAGATTCAGTTATAAGAAACAATGACAGGAGGAGATATGACAGCCAAACCTGTGTTAAAGACTCCCTGTAAATGCAACAACTACCTGTCTACAAAGGTCATTGGTTTCAGGTTACAAAGTACAGTGATAATACATGTACATATTGTACTGGTCATGAAAAAGTGAACATTTCAATGAAAGCAACATTCATTTCAAATGTCAATAATCTCATTTCCAACGAGTGACCTTTATAGTTTATAGTAATCGACATTGTATCACATTGCTTCTGTTTGTTAAACGATTTTAATACGAAAAAACAGGTATGAATGTAATGTGCTGAAAAGAAATTCCCACAGACACTACATGTATGTGACATACGTATCTTAGTAAAAAAAATACAATGCAAAGTGACATGTATTTTCCACTTCCAAAATTAAAAACGAAAGCAAAACGGGTACAGTACTTTACGTACAGGAAGCGGTAATTACGGTCTTAAATGAAACAGTACATCATGAAAGGTTTGTGTAGGACTATCTTACTGCAATATTGATTTACATAATTTGCAATTGATTTTCAGTGTAGAAAAATATTCAGATACATATTCAGTACAGACAGATCAGACAAGCCACGTTAGACCAGACAGCATGACCTGACAGTCGGACTTTCGGCGGAGTGCCAAGATGAATAAATAATTAGTGATTTAGTAGAATTACCCATGTCCATGTACATAGGACAAACTGTTGACACAACTCTAAATTGCACGTGTTTTGCTATGATTTTTCTTCTAAACCGATCACGGTAACATCAAAACACCACGCTACGTATACATGATTCATTCAATGAATGACAAATGTCAAAACATTGACAACGATTCAAGTTCCTAGTTGTTAAAGAGTGAAAAGAGGAATGTCTTAGACTAAGTTTAAAGTTATAATAAACCCTACCATGTATATCCTTTTGTGCAACGTCGTGTACACGAATTAACTGAGACAAACGACATTTATCGTCATTAAATACACATTTGTGTAGCGGATAGCCTTCCCAGTCAGCCGCCATGTTGATTTATAAGCTTTAGGGAGCAGTCATTGCTCGGTCATTATAGATGGAAGGGAGAAATCATTAATACGACCAGAGGTGCTGCTTCCGCCGGTCGAACCAGCAGCAACAGCGAGAGAAATCAACTTCATTTCGACATGAAAATGGGTCGGTGCACGCACTTGTTTCCTGAACTATTTTGCCAATTAGTGTCAATAAAAAATAATTAGTTTATTTTGGTTTATTGTTTGTTATGAGCTCATCGTGCTATAATTCGAGACCGCATGAACCGTTTCAAGCGGGTTACATTTAAGCTTAAATTGTGTTTGTTCTCTGAGCCGTAAATTCATTGAATTCTCCCCTTTCATACCTTTGTTATTTACTTACTTAATATAAAGTCATGTTACGATTTAACATCAAACTAATATATTACAAAAAATGTCTTTTTTTCTCTCCGACTTCAAAACTTTGTGGAGGAAGTGTTCAACTTTTTTGTTTTTGGTCTTCTGCGTAAGGTATCAAGAATACGGTTTTAATCACCTTAATATTTCACTAGACCGTGAGATGTATATCTTGTAATGAAAAAAAGTGTCGAAGTGTCGAACTGTCAATTTGCCATAAAAATTATAACGACGAGATTGGTTTTTTGTTGTCTCACGGACGTAAATCTGGAGTTTAATTGTCTTCTCAAACGGTAAAAATTAAGCTTGATTAAAATCAGCATCGATAACAGTTTTTATCTAATATAATTCAAATAGTTCCAAATTATCGCTACTGTTCAAATAATGGTTCATGATGTTATTGAATTTGCAAGCAAAATATTAATTACATATTAACCCATATAAAATGCGTTCATTCTGAGCCCGGATTGATGTTTATATGGATCAAAAGTATTTATTTTATTGAAAAGGTCAATGTTTTTAATGCATCAGTTCCTATTTATTTTACAGCAAAAACTGTACAGTATTTTTGGTTGATTGTATCATCGTAATTTCCCATATCCAATGTCACAAAAGAGGTAGACATAACACTCTTAAAATGTCTTATCTGACCATGTTACTTTCCTTTAATAGAGTTTCGTTTGCAATGAACTTTTTCTGTTTTAATTCAGATTTCCGTCGTTTAAAAAAAAAAAAAAATTCTTTTGCAAATTAGTTCGAGATTTGGGCAAATTTTCCAGTACAGGAACTATAGTTAGTAACACTGACTAGCCTAACAAGAGACATTTTGTGGGAATGTCGACCAATGAGAAGCGCCTCGTTTTCGTAACAAAAGTCGTTAACAGACGGACACAATCATAATATGTGGTTTCAAAAGAAGTATAACGGTTGTCATGGTGATCTCGTTGAAAAATATTCTGCTTCTTTTATGCGACATGAAGCTGGAAATGTTTAATGCTCATAAGTTTGCCTATTGGTTCCGTGGTTGTATGCATTGTTCTCATTAAAGAACGTGACATTATTTTCTCAGATTGACCAAAACTTTCAAGGAGGGTATAGATGATGAAGAGGAAGACGCTTACTCCTTCTGGAACACTTGGCCTTTTTCTCCATGTACTTTTTTCAGGAGTCTATGTGTACATATTTCTTTTGCTAAATATTTTTTCCCAAGTTTTACTGAATTTGTGTTTGGGTTATGATTATGTTGACATATTGGTTTGTTTGGGGTTTTTAGTCACGTGACTAAGGACTTATTCGGCTATAGTGACATTAACTGCCCGTATGAACTGAATATACATATATGCATGTATGACATAGAGGCGTGGCTCTTGGGGTTCAGCTCGTGGCTCCAATCAAATGTGGCTCGTGGCCTGGCAATGTATGTTCCAGGGTTTTGTTTGATTTGAGTAACTTCAGTGAAAAAATCTGCACTTTGACCATTTTAGGTGAAAAGTTTAAAATAAAGCATTGAATCTCGTTTTTGTCGATTTCATGGGGGTTGATGATTTGAGTTGCTCTTGAGTCAAATCTAATACACTGCGAAGCAGTTCATGTTGAATATGTCTCACATAAAAATATCATAGCATGAAATGGTATATTGCGGCTTCAATCATCTCAGGATATATTTTGTGGCTGTAGACCTGTAAATGTATACTCCAAAGTTCTATTTGATTTGGACAAGTTTGTAGACAAATATGTAGACAAATATTGCATCTAAATCATGTAAGATGATACCACTTATTATACAACATAGACTGACTGTGACTTTTAGGGTTAATTTGGTGAGACTATCATTTGAGGGCATTTTAATGTGGCTCAAAGCCGTATGGTGTACATTTCAAAAATCAATTTCAGATAGAAAATTTTGTATAAAAATATTGCACCTTTATCATTCCAGGTGACCCAACATTTAGGTAAAAGATATGACCGAACTCGAACTTGTATATTGGATGTTTGATTGCTGTTTTTAGAAGTTTCAAGAATCTCAAATACAAATTAAAATCAGTACAAAAACATATACGTGGATAATATATAAAAATAAAAAAAAAGATAAAAAATTTAAAAAAAAACGAAATTGATTTAAAACCATTGTTACATGGATGAAATCATGTACATTTCCAAAAAAATGAGTTAGATGCGCATAATTATGTTCTGACTTAGGTAAGGCGTAGATGAATGAATATAATCATATTGATATTAAGTTGATTTAGCCTGTATCATGGAATTTAACACAGGAAGACAAAATTAGTATTTAAAAAGTTTCATTTCAATATGTACAATTATTTACGCATGACCTGTAAATTATTGGTATGTACAAAATGTACCAATAGGCACGAGACTATTATAACAAAATATGAACGGCACGAGGCAAGAGTGTGTTTTTTGAGATTACAAGAACTCACACAATAGCTTAAAATACGTACGTTATGTAGGTTAAGATACAAACTAACCCAAAAATGAAAAAAATAGAATTAATACTAATGTAATAATGCACATAAACATGGGAAATATTGACATGTAAGTGACAAATGTCAATAATCCCGAGACAGACATAAAAAAATAATAATTAATTGACGTAGAATCTGCCATTAAACGAAGAAAATATACATTATCCACGGTTTATACAGGACAAACCGCACTATGTAAATCAAGTAGACAAATTAATACATGCTAGAAAGTTTTTTAAAAATCTCTCTTTTTCAGTCACAAAACAGGAATACCTATGTCCAAAGCTTAAAACGCATAGATATCGTTAGGATAATGATACATGTAACTTTGTTAATTGTTTTTGAAAAGGAATAATGTATATTTATTCTTTATCTAAAAACATAAGTATAAATGGAGACGACATGAAGACATAACACTAATGCCATATTCATTTCAGCTCTGATATATATAAATATAGTATGACTTACTAGATTATATATATAATATGGTCCAATATTGGTACTGGATTCTAACAAACAAATGTTCGTTGGATGCGTATTACTGGAATAGATATATGATCAATGAAGTAATAACGACAGTACGGACAAGCGAATTGTCAATTTTTCGAGACAATCTGCCTCTTTATCATGACACAAATATTACATATATATATATGTGTGTGTAATTTAAAAAGATAAAAAAACTTTTTGTATCGAAGATATAGAAAATCAAACTCGTGACATGGCGTATAAATTCACTAACGTTTTCAGACCTCGCGGCCATCTTCAGGTGATTTTTAACGTTAAATGTATGTTACTCTGTAACAATACTGTTATAATGTTATGTCTATTACTAGGGTATTGAATGCAATACCTTTAATCTGTATAACTGACTGGGAGCAATACAATACATGTATCTACATCTATAACGTACAATAATATCCCTTTATAATTTTCCATTCAATTCGACATCATTCTCGATACTCCAGAGGTTACGATCACTTTCGCTCTCTGTATTCCTGGAGCATGTCATGGCAACATTGAATGTTCCATGTGCGACACGTTTTGGGCAACACGAAAAGGCAAGTGTGATCCTTTGATGTACATCAAACGAATCTCGAGGTCGTATAACGGTATATTGTAATGAAGGTGGGTGTTGCTCATTTGTTATCTTCAAAAGGAGTGTATCAGCCTGTGATTGGTCAGTTTTTTTTCTCCTGGAACCAATTAGATTACTTCGCTTGTGCCTTCAGTGTTGCCATGATATGTTCCAGGGTTGCAGAGAGCGAAAATGATTGTAACGCCTGGAGTAACGAGGATGTTTCGTCATACGAACTTGTTATAATTATTTCACTGAAACATGCGTTCTTATTGATTATCACAAAGATTCCTTAGAAAATATACATAACCTTATTTAATGCCTAAATGAAATTTAACGTAAATTCGTATTGCAAGCAAGCTACATAAAAATGTATACATATTATAAAATCTTACCCTAGTGAAGTAATCTAAATAAGTTGACGATAAGGAGGCAGTGTTAATGACGTAACGATAAGGAGGCAGTGTTAATGACGTAACGATAAGGAGGCAGTGTTAATGACGTAACGATAAGGAGGCAGTGTTAATGACGTAACGATAAGGAGGCAGTTTTAATGACTTTAAAGTTAACTAGGTAGTGTTAATGACGTAACGATAAGAAGGCAGTGTTAATGACGTAACGATAAGGAGGCAGTTTTAATTACTTTAAATTTAACTAGGTAGTGTTAATGACGTAACGATAAGAAGGCAGTGTTGATGACGTAACGATAAGGAGGCAGTGTTAATGGCGTGATGTTAAAGACGTAGTGTTAGTGACGTGATGATAAGGAGGTAGTGTTAATGACGAGATGTTAACGAGGAAGTGTGAATGACTTGACGTTCAGGAGGTAGTGTTAATGACGTTATGTTAAGGAGGTAGTGTTAATGACGAGATTTTAAGGAGGTAGTGTTAATGAGTTGACGTTCAGGAGGTAGTGTTAATGTCGAGATATTAAGGAGGTAGTGTTAACGACGAGATTTTAAGGAGGTAGTGTTAATGAGTTGACGTTCAGGAGGTAGTGTTAATGACGTGATGTTTTAGAAGTTGTGTTAATGACGAGATGTTAAGGAGGTAGTG